TTAGAAACTATACTCCGAACAGTACTATTAAAATGTTCATGTACAAGAGTGTCATGTACTTTTAACGCTAAAGTTTTTATATGCACGGTTAAATTGCACTTTCATTTCACAGGAATATAATTAGACGTTTGTGCCATTTTTATTGCACAAATTCATTTGATTAATATCACTTTTTATCGCCTATTATTACAGAACTAACAATTCTGCGTGTTACAATCACAGCACTATACAAACAGAAATGTAAATCTTAACTAAAATAATTTACAATCTGCATAACACTTTTTGCCGATTAAAAATTTTAATCCTTTCTAAGAAAGTTAAGGGCTACTTAAATTGATCTTGAATTGTAAATATTTTCTACCTGTAAAGATTACATACTTACCTTATTTTTGTTGATTAAAATTACTAGAAAATTTAAGACAAGAATTGAAATAAATTGGTATTTTTAAAAATTTTAGAAAGAAAACCAGAGATTTTATTTTGTAACAAATAATGCTAAACATTTTATTTAAGAAATTCTCCGTCACTGATTTATGATGTTTTATTGGGGTTTATCTCCTGGGTGTTAAAATTTTGCTATCATTCATTTTCAAATAAACTATAGTGTTATACTTTCCAATAAAATAATCATCTCTCGTTCTAAAATTATAAGTCATCATATCTACCCTTTATGTTAAAAAAGTTGATAAAAATATCGGTTTAAATTTTTTAATTTGGTAGTTTATAAATAAAAATAAAATTTTCCTCGTGTATCATTTTTTTTATATCAAGAAACTTTAGTGTTTAACATATATTTTATCCTATATTTCGGAACATACTGAAACTGAAGTGTGAAGTCTTATGAAGCGCGCCCTTGCCAGCCGTCGCTATGTTGGGATCGGCAAAAAAAAAACAGGTCCAGTCTCCGACAAATTTCGACACGGGTTTAACTTTTATCTCAAAATTTCTATTTTCAATAATTAATAATAAACAATGAATTAAAAAATTATAAAATTATAATATATAAGTTAACAAATAAACAAATTTTACGCAATAGATAAGTCATCGTCCAGGTCTGAAATCTCACTCTCAGAACTGTCGCCATTTACTCTTGTATTGAGTTCATCAAAGTTGTCTTGCAGATTATCAGAGACCCACATTTCTTTTTCAGTTTTTTCTCCGACATGTGCAACGCAATTACGCCAATTTTGTTCAGTGACATGTTCAAATGCTTCATCTATCAATGAACGAACATCCTGTGTCTTGAAAATCAAAGTTGTTCATAGCAATATAGCGCTTTACCTGATTCCGTACCATCGCGTTAGGGTTAAGCTCGTAGTGATACGGTGGTAAGCATAAAACAGTTACCCCGTATTTTACAACTATTTCCTCAATTTTATATCGGCCGTATTCACATGCTTTGATTACTATACGAGGCAACAGAGAGGCCCGACACGCCCAACATAGGGCGCGGCCATTTTGAACCCTGTGACACAGTTTACAGCTAAAGAATCAGATCGCTCACTCTGCGTCGGCACGTTTGATCTCAATGTTTCAGTTTATACACTGTGCAACTCGGATAATACAATATATGACAACCGCCTATAATAAAACAGCAGTCTTCTGCGTATCCTGAATTTGTATCCCTGGAGTGGATGTTATTTTGGAACTTTCAACTGGTCCGAGTGAGCTAACTGATTCTTTAGCAATAAACTGTGACTTCAAAAATAATATTCACTGACAGCAGCAAGCAAAATATCATGGGCGTTTTAATCATCCGCTTCTGCTTCCGGAATTTTCGGTTTAGTCGTTTTAACATGTCAGATTAAAACAAGAAAACCGACAATTCCGAAGCAGAAGCGGATGATTAAAACGCACCTATTAAAAATATTGCGCCAAGATGTAGGCAAAACGTAATAAGGGTTCAAAATGGCGGAGTATTCTATCTCCTTTTAAAAGGCACTCAGAAAGCTGCGCAGTGCGACCATTCTCCGTATAGTAAAAGAAAATCAAAGTATGTGGCCGTATTGCTCTCTGTATGCGTTGGCAACTTCAAGTAATTCAGATTTTAAATAGGAGTCGTCAAAGAAAATGTTTTCAAACAGCCAATTTTTTATTTCGGGTTTGTTCCATGAGGTAGTTGGAAAACTAAATTTACGGGAATGATACGAAGCATTATCCATAACAACAACGTTCTTTTGTCCATTTTTGGGTAAGTTCGGAGTCGGCGACTCTCAGCGACTCCTCAAACCATTGTTTAATATAGTTGGCATTTATTTCGTCATGATAATCGCCATCTTTGCCTTTGTCAAGAAAACACGCTCAGCGCCAGGTAAAAATACATATTCACATCCTTCATGAACAATAACGAATAGTGGACCTCCTTGTGTAGGTTTTTTTGAGGCCTGTGGTTAAACTCTTTATAAAAGCACACCATGCATAGTTAACCGTTTGACCCAAGTCTCATCTAAATAGATAACGTTACAATTTTGTTGGCGATATTGGGTCCTATGATTGAACGTTTACGTTATCCGTAACGTACATGTTAGGCTCAGTTTTAACAGTAATTAGGCAAGTTCGTATGATGAAAAACGGTTTCCAACACATTACTGTTATTTTCCGCCTGTTATGTTCTAATTTAGCAGTTTTCCATCATACAAATTTGCTTCGTTACTGTTAAAATTCGACCTAACATGTACGTTATGGATAACATAAACGTTCAATCATAGGACCCATTGTTTGATGGCTCTTAAATACTTGTGCCGCCAATGAATGATGTCGTTTTGTTCTAACATTATACTTTTATGACCACGCTTCACATATTCAAAACCAATATCTTCCATCGATCTATATAGGGTTCTTAAAGAGAACGATGGCGAATTCTCATCCTCGAATAATGTTATAAATTACATTCAAAAATGGCGGATTGTTTTTAAAAAAATCATTGTGCACAATTCCTCTCAATAAGCTATTAAAACCGTCATCATATGTATATTAGCGAGAATTTGACTGCCTTATCTGCTTTTTTCTTGCAGATTTCAATTCGCCATTGTTTTCTTCCTCCTCTTTCTTGATAATAATATTATTTGTTCACTGACCCCACTCATTTTGGAAGCACGACTTACCGCTGCAGTCACACTCAATTTATACCAAAAAAAAAGTTGAGTAATTAAAAGTCAAAATTTTGAAAATTATAAAAAATTCATTGGCTTTAAATATGCGTATACAATATTAATTCCTAAGCTATCCTTACAAATTTAAAAAAGAAGATAATTCGCTTGGATTTTTGGTTTTTGTGGGTCAGCTTCTTTTTCTGTAAAATAAATTTTAGCATTGTTTGGTTAAAGATGCCTTATTGTTAAAGGAAGTAAGTAAAAAATACATATTGTCTTCTTAATTTATTCTACCATCATAGGTTCCAGTTCAAAATCAGGCGCTCCGCTGAATCTATCCACATTGTCGTTGATGTCCGTGCCGGTTATATGTTCATAAAATTGCATGCAATCGTTCAGAATTAAGTGCATCACAGACTTTTTTATTCTCTATATTTGGATTTTTTTACTTTTTTCCTTTAAGCCCACAGTGGCATTAGAAAGTTTTTAAATAATGCCGGACGACCCATTTTTTCTCATGTCTATTTCAGCATTCAACATTTTTTTTTTTTTTTCAGAAAAATTGAAAATGTTTTTTTTATCAACGTTAAGAAAACGACTCAAAAAGTCACGGATTGTATTAAAAACGTGCCAAAAGGTTGCGAGTAAAACTCAAATTAAAAATCTTGCTGTAACAATTCCTTGCCATATTAAGAAGAAAACCTACTGGTTAATACTTATTTTTTAAGATAGATGGCTATGACTGCATCGGATCGGTCTCGTAGGTGTCTAACGCGCTCGCATTCATTTGCGAGCAATTTTGTAGTAAGAGACATGCTGGCTTCGAATCGTACATAAGACCATGTGAATTCATTTGCATGGTACTCTATAGGATTTGATGAATGCCGTATTAGCAGAAATTTAATTTCTGTTTCGATGATGGTGGGTGGGGTTTTCCGGGCTTTCCTCACCTGTAAGTCAAATGACACCATCAATCATCTTTAAGTCGCCCCAGAGCGCCACGGCAAATAATAATAGCTGTCTCTTATCCGGATAAGCTCAGCTTTGGGGGTAAAAATTCACTCGTAAGGGGATGAATTAGGGAGAGTATTATTATTGTTTTCTGAGACACCCCGGGTATGAATTAGACTTTTTGATGATTTGATTTTTTGGTTTTAATCCATGCACCAACTTTTATCCAGAATAATTAGTTTTGAAAAATCATATGTGAATATTTTTTGGCGGACATTGTATAATAATTAAACAAGTAACGTCTATATTTAAATTCATTGAGATATACTAAGAAATATTGATTTTACATATTTAATGTCTTCCGTTATTGAATAAATATCTTACAGCCGTTTTCTATATGTCGCTCATGAATTATTCAAAGAAATTATATTACTTTTTGCATGACAAAAAGTGTTGCGTATATTATTGTTGAAAATTTTACAAATTTTTAGATGTGATACAAAATATTGAACGAATATTAAGTATAATTTATTAAAATCAATTTACTTACTTTTAAAACGTATTTTTAATCCATTTTTTAAACCTGTTTATTTTTAACATTTATACTGCTTACTGACTTAAAGTTATCATGTTTTAACCACATGTGTTCAATTTCTTTATTATACACAAATTTTATCTAAAATGAAACCACCAAAAATATATCTTGGTCAAAAACAATAATTATGTCAGAATAACTACAGTACTAATGCGATCAGATCTCTGTTATTTTCATTTTGATTAAATATATATATTTTTTTTGATTTAAACAAACTAATATATCATCTTCATTTTAATATTTATATTAAAAGTATAAGTAATAATTTAACTTAAAATATCAACATTATTTGTAAATATTTAATTACAAAATGAATAATTTTAATTCGTCACTGTGGGACTTAAATCATTGTTTCTTTTCAGTTGATATCAAGACTATACATTTAGCACCAGGCGTCACGCATAAAGATGTTGAACTATTTAGAGATACGAGAGAAAAGGCAGCTGCAACTACTGCTGCTCTTTTACCGATTCCGGCGCCACCTATACAGGAAGTAACTGCAGTACCAGCCCCAACTGGCCTGCCACTACCAGAAGTAAGATGCCCTTCAGCTATAGAATTTGGAAAATACGAGATTCAGACCTGGTATTCCAGCCCCTTTCCACAAGAGTATGCACGATTACCAAAATTGTTCTTGTGTGAGTTTTGTTTAAAGTATACAAAGAGCAAGGCAGTACTAGAGAGACATCAAGACAAGTGTACTTGGAGACATCCACCAGCCACAGAAATCTACAGATGCAAAGATATCTCAGTGTTCGAAGTGGATGGCAATGTGAATAAAATATATTGCCAAAATTTGTGTCTGTTAGCTAAACTGTTTCTGGACCACAAAACTTTGTATTATGACGTGGAACCTTTTCTGTTTTATGTTTTGACTAAGAATGATAAGAAAGGAAATCATTTAGTTGGCTATTTTTCGAAAGAGAAACATTGTGTACAAAAGTACAATGTATCTTGTATTATGACGATGCCACAGTACCAGAGACAAGGGTTCGGCAGATTTTTAATAGATTTTAGTAAGTATTTTATTTTTTTATTTAACTTTAATGACAACACAATTTCCATAAGCGAAGTCTTTTTTTTTAATGGATCGTTGTTTGGCACGGAATCTGAAAAATCTTGAAATCCGGTTCATATGAATATAATTGATTGAGACTTTTACATTTTGTTGCCTAACCTATTACTAAATTGAGTGAGAAGGTTATCCATATCTCAAATTTTTAATTTAATCAGTTTTGCCAAAGAAATATATAATTTAAATGAGGAGAGAAATAATGTATCGATAATAATTTGGAATTATAAATGACATATTAAAGAACAATAAATCAAGACCAAAGGAAATTAAAAGTTATGAGTAAATTTACAATAACAAAGTGGATATAAAATATTAAGTGACAAAACTGTGAAGTATTAGATGAACTTAAGATATAATGAAATATATAGCAACTAAGGTAATACATTAGATATTAGCAATATCATGCTAATGTATTTATTACCTAATACTTCACAGTTTTGTCATTGTTTACACATCACTTAATATTTTATATCAATTTTTGCAATTGTATACTTACTTATTTACTTACTTACTTACTTACTTACTTACTTACTTACTTACTTACTTACTTACTTACTTACTTACTTACTTACTTACTTACTTACTTACTTACTTACTTACTTACTTACTTACTTACTTACTTACTTACTTACTTACTTACTTACTTACTTACTTACTTACTTACTTACTTAGTTACTTACTTACTTACTTACTTACTTACTTACTTACTTACTTACTTACTTACTTACTTACTTACTTACTTACTTACTTACTTACTTACTTACTTACTTACTTACTGTAGGAGCTGGTATTTAGTTATTAGTGTGTTGTTATGGTTTTGATGTTACGTTGATGGAAAATGAATGACTAATTTTGGCGTTATAAATAAAATTATTATATTAGACTCATTTTAATTGTCCATTACAACTTCACCAACGCCCCTTATACTTACAATTTCATTTGACCTAAATTTATTGTTTTTGATATTCGATGGCTCAATCAAATACTGCCACTACTGAAATACTATTGTTTCGAGAAATTTCATTTTGAAATTTTGTAAGTCTCTATTATCATTATTTTGTTTTTGACATAAAATCTTTATATTTTATTTAAAAGCTTAGATATTTTGCTGTTAAAATTAACGATTACGATTATAAAAGAGTTATTGCATAGTTTGTAAAAAATTTGGGCGTTTTTGCAGAAAATAACTCGAATTGAGGCAGTTTTAAACACAGTTTATTGAGTTTATGGCTAGATTTTAAACGATTTTCGGGCATCTTTAAGGATATATTTGTTTGTGGTGGTATTTAAATTAAAACAATGATATTTTGCATCCATTGAACCAAAAATGTAATTTTCTTTCTTTTTTGACTTGTGGCCGTTTTTGATTGAGCCATTAGTAGTCATTAGTAATTCTAAATTATTATTGTGTACATTATTTATCACCCCGTACAAAATATACTTTGGTCATTTGACTGAAACTAGGCTTTGAGTTTTCCATTCCTTAGAGCCACTTTACAATTCGTAATTATCCTTGCTGCAAGTAAATTTCAATTGCTGTCCATGTTACACTTCACAATTCATTGCAGTCCATGTTAGACTTCACAATTCATTGCAAAGAGTTCGCCAACTTAAGTCACTAAACAGATACACCAACTTTCAACTTAGTTTGAAAAAGTGCAATATCTCCGCCATTATTAGAGATATAAAAAAAATATATCAACAGAATGGTAGACAGCGTTAAATTACATATTCTAAAATTATGTTTGAATATACAGGGTGTTTGATAACTTCCCTCTGGAACAAACTTATGTTTTTTTTATGGATCACCCTGTATTTTATTTTATATTTGAATTACCCTCGCTTTTTTCATTGTAAAAATATCAATTAGTTTGGGGTTATACAGGGTATTTCACAGGATGTAATCAGTTTTATATGAAAATCGTATTGAATTCAATTATCTATATCATGGAAAAGAAACAATTGAAAACCTGTGTTTTCTGCCACAATTCTTCGATGATGGTCAAATTTTATCCTGAAACTACTATTTTCAATCCGCAACAAATCTGTACAGGGTGAGTCAAAACTCAAATACATAATTTTCTAGTTTTTTTTTTTTAATGGACCACCCTTTATTTTATATCATCGTTCAAAAGTATCCTAATTATACTTTCATTTGACTCAAGAATTCCCTATACCAAAAGTTGCATGTATTTTATTTTTAGAAAGTATTCTTTGTACTGAAGTATAACTTTATTTTCTGTTCTCTTGAAATATTTCTGATACTTGTATCCAGATTTTCGGTAACTACTAACAAAATATTTAATTCATTTTCTTCTTTAGTAACAGTTTTTGTTTTATCATTTTTCTTATATGAAACTGACTATGTTCGGTTAAATCGATCAGTTTTCTGAACGATGTTTTATTTGGTATTCTACGTTCAGGGAATCGTTCTTTGTACACTCTAGTTGCTAACAAAAAGTTTTTATTGATTTCTTCCAAAATCCTCACCATATCCAATAATTCTTCATGACTAAAATTGATATTAACTGGCGAGACTTTGTAGACTACAAATAATGCAACACTAATGACATTAATTATAACAAACTGTCAGTATTGGGAGTTTTCAAAGTTAACTTAAAAAAAAAACATTTAATAAAAAAAAAATAGGTTTCATGTGTAGTTTGTGGTTGCAATATTTTTTTTCTACTAAATGTACAAGTGGTATTAGATATTGTTAGAAACTTATTCAGTTGATAATAAATTACTGCAGATCAAATTCTAATAATTACTAATGATGAACATATTGTATTTTCTATAAATTTTCTGAATTATCATTTTTACCACTAAAATTTAAAAATCTCCCAAATCTGTTAACTTTAGGCATAGGGAATGATTAAGTCAAATTAAATTAAAAAGGTATTTTTCGCTGCATAAACCAACATGAACGTTTATGATAGATTATGTTATTTAGACCAATCAGATATGCATGTTGGTTTATGCCGCAAAAAATACCTCATAAGTACGCTACTTTTAAAAAAAGATATAAATTACAAGGTGGTGCATTTAAAAAATTGTCAAAAAAATGTTTTTGAGTTTTGACTCAACCTGTATAGATTGTTGCGTATTGAAATAAGTAGTATTTTGGCATAAAATTTGACTATCATTGAAAAATTGGTTTTCAATTGAATACAAATCGTCACATTTTTTCAAAAAATTATTTTTATGGCCTAATATACTTAAAATATACTATATTTTTTGTTTGTGATAGTTCTGATTTCCAATTTTGATAAATAACGGCTATTCTTCATATAGGAAGGTGTCATGAGCCATATATTATAATGTAATTGTAAAGCTTTAAACTTGTTTTTCTTAAAATAATCTTTATCCATTTGTGTCTTCATTTGTTTCTTTTCCATGATATACCGATACGCTTTTCATATAAAACTGGTTATATCCTGCGAAATACCCTGTATAACCCTATACTAATTTATATTTTTGCAATGAGAAAAGCGAGGTTAATTCAAATATAAAATAAATTACATTCACATCCATTAAAAATAACATAAGTTGGTCCCAGTGGAAAGTTAATAAACACCCTGTATATTAAAAAAAAATTTAAAAATGTAATTTAACGTTGGTTACCGTTCTGTGAATATAATTTTTTTGTTTCTAATAATTGCGGAGATATTGAACTTTTTCTTACTAATGAATCACCCTGTATACTAGTAGAGGATAGCCGAGTTCCCCACTTTCAGACCCTGGTGTTTTTTTTTGTCATACTGATGGATACGTCATCAACCGCAACCGCAAAAGCAAAAGTGCATGATTATAATAGTCGTTTTCGTCTTACAGGTATACTTAACTAACTAAAAGTTAGACTCTGATCTAAGCTAAGTTGTAAAAACAACGCGAATTTTAGTTGACAAACAATTAACATTTTTATCAAATTTTATAATTTAACATTCCAACATCACGATCTTACCCCTGTTATCAGTATTTCACTCCCTCTAAAATAATAAATTCATAGGATATATTTGTTCCTATGATGCACAAGAACATTCACTTTCTGTTATGGTTTATGGTTGACGTCAAGGTTCCTGTACCTTAGCATCGGTAAGGGGGGAAGAAAGATTCTGACTTACAATCACAAAAAGAACTTACAACTAAGCTTAGTCGATATAAGTTAGCTCAGATTAATGGTAAATAGAAAGCGACTAATGTATTTGTAAACCCATAGTTTTTCTCATGTAAACATTCAACATTTATTATTTCATGTAAAATAATTAAATTTTAAGTGCAACGTTAATTTGTAAAAATGTAAAAAAATAAGATTAAGTAGTAAATAGTTTTAACTAACTGGTTAGATTACCTTGGGAAAACTGTAATTGAAAAGCGTAAAAATTAGTTCATAAAAATAATCGGGTAAATATAATAATTTTTAATTATATTCAATGAAAAGAGTAGATTTTCAACTCAAAACAGTACAACAAGAAAAGTGACAAAAGCAATAGATATACTGTTTCAACCGTAGAACTGGCAAACCTGGACATGGTCGTCACGTGTAAATGTGGAGAGTGTTCAAGTGTTCGCATTTATCGACCGCAAACCCTTTGAAACGGGTAATAAAACGGACTCGGTTGGAGAACGGCTTTACATGTACGTTTAAAATAGTTTTTTAAATTAGGCGGTAATTGTTTTATGACATTAAACTATTTTTTACGTTTGGGAAATAGGTTTAAACTCTTCCTCAGATCGTTTTTTGCAATAAAACACTTCTCTACTTCTTTTCTGGCTACGTCCAAAATACTAAAATATTCTTTGGTCCGCAAACTTTGAACTCGCTATTGGTATTTCTCAGAAACCTTATTTAGTGGTTTAACATGTTTAGGTATTTTAATTTTACTATTTACTCTTAATGTCTGCATATTTGATATTAGCAATTTGTCTAAAATATTAGTTTTAATTTTCTTATTTAAAATATGTTCTCCGTACAATTTAAATCATACATTATTTGATTGATCAACGACCAGCCATTGGGACCTAGATCCTTTTTCTGGGACCTTATTCAGAGATGACCCCTCAAATTACTAAATGAGGCCGACTGAAGCCTATACAGTAGAGTCTATACAGTTTCATTTTAAAAATAAAATCTCAAAATTAAAATCGAAAATAAAAACCTATATAAAAAAAATCATAATTAATCATTAAACATTTTTAAAAATTAAAAAATCAAAATATAAACATTTTATTATATAGTGTTGAAGACATTACAATAAGTTTGCCAGAAATTGATTCATAGGAACTGAATTACTAGACATGAACCTAATGAATTTCCACTATTTATATGAACCATGGATTAAGACTATATTTTAAATTATTTTTAAGGTTTTTTGCTTTCCAAAGAAGAAGGTCAACCAGGCACCCCAGAAAAACCCCTTTCTGACCTTGGTCGGGTCTCGTACTACGCTTATTGGAAATCTGTTATTCTGGAGTATCTACATTCTCATCGTACAGAAAAAATTAAACTGACACAAATCAGCAAAGAAACTGGAATGTATTGTCAAGATATCTCGCTGGCGTTTCAGTTGCTTGGATTCATAAAATTGGTGCAGATAGATGAAGGAAACAAACCAATTATTTGTGTAGATTGGGAGAAAGTCGATAATCACATGGCAAAAGTAAACAAATCAATTACTAGAATCCCAATTGACCATGAATGCTTGCGCTGGACGCCGTTGGTTACGCAGTCAGTCGCCCAGCTAATTGAACCAAGATCTGATGAGGATGCTTCACCCAAAGAAACCGCAAATATAGTAGTACCTATGCCCGAAAAAATAATAATTGAAACTCCGGCTGGTGTGAAACTAAAGAGAGGCAAGAAAAGGAAAATTTCTACTACACCACCGAGATCACAGAAAGCCACAAAAGTTGACTGTAAAACTATATTAAATACGTCCATTGAAATGACTAATGAGGAAGTTGAAATAACTTCATCTGGTAGAAAAAGAACCAGACCAAGTAAATTTAATGAAACAACTTTCGAAGCTAAACCAAAAATCGTCGAAACTCCTTGTAATAAAAGAAAACAATTGGACAAAAGCAGTCCTAAAAAGAAAGCCAAAGTTGAATCCAGTTCCGAAAAATCAGAAGACCCTGCTCCCCCTCCTGTTGAAGATGCAGTTAAAACTCCGCAAATACCAGAATCTAAACCTGTAAGAGGAGGAAGATCTGCTGCAAATACACCAAAGCCAACCGAAAAAGAAAAATTTGAAAAGGTACTTATTTTGTTATTGACTAGGTGTAAACCAAATTTTTATTATTACTTTTTGAATTGGCCTACTTTTTTCAGATTGATGAACCACAAACACCTAAGAATAATCCAACTTCGAAGCCAAAGAGAGGTTCAGTTACCAAAGAAAGAGTTTTGGGCGAGCGGTGGTCTCAAAGAAGAGTGAAGAAACAACAAGAACTTAAAGAAAAAGAGAAAGTAAAAGAAAACAACAGTTCCAAAGTTCAAGAAACTACTACCACAACTACAACAACAGCAACAGAAGATGAACCTGCTTTAATTAAAGAAACGCCTAAAGCCACCAAAGATCCAGAAGTTGTGGAAAACACAGTTGTTGAAAATGTCGATGCTTTAACCCCATCATTATTAACTCCTCAGAGTAGTAAATCAACACCTAGAAGAAGGAAGAAGCGTGGCGCTCCTAAAGGTAAACCAAGAAACACACCTGTGGCCAAACAACTGACTCTACCAGAAATAATCAAACAAAACCTTCAAAAGGACAGTGAGAGCGAATCATTAATATCTGAAAAATCAGATGAAGAAGCCACCAAGAAATCACAACCTGCTCCAGTTACTCCAGAAAAGGAAAAACCTAAAATCCGAAAGGAAGAAAAAATCAAAAGAACCTCAAGGATATCTACTGAAGAAGATTCTAGCGCGGAAGCAGATGATGAGATGGAAAATGACGAATTACCCGTCCAAAAAGAAATTTCTCCTGGAAGTAAATTCAAATACACAAAGACGACGCCGACAAAAGAATCTGGCCATAAAGATGGTAAAACTAAAGTTGACGAAAAAGGAGATAATACAGATAAATCAAACTTTAATCACTCACCATCTTACACTACAACTTCAGAATCTGAAATGGAAATTGATGGACAGAAAATAAAAACTATATCTCACAGGGAAGTTTTTAAAACAGGCATACTTACATCTCACATTAAGCAAATTGATCCTTCTATCATACCACCTTTGCCTAAAGAACAGAAAGAAGAAGTAACACCGGTAGCCGAGGTCTTGAAGGAAGACAACTCAAACTCTGCAGATGTTATAGATACTCCCGGGGAATCCGGAAGGAAATCAACTGATATGGAAATTGAAAAATTTGAAAAACCAAATCCTTTTAATATCATAGTTCGTAACGAAACTGCAGTTATTGACAGTATGGAAGACTCTATTGACAATTCCGTTGAAGCGATTCAACATTCCAACTCTTGTGAAACTACAGTGGAAAACCCCATTGATACGAGCTTAATACCGCCAGTAGTAGAACAACTCATTAAACCTGTGGATGATAATTTTGAAGGAATTCAGAACGAATCTATAGAAAAATCTGTAATACAAAATATTCCTAATTTTTGCAAATCAATTCCCGACAATTTAGTGTCTGTGGAGAAATTGGAACAAATAATTGAAGAAAATGGACAAAAGGGTCTGATGATTCAAGAAAATCCTAACGAAATAGGAAACGTTACCAAAAAAGTAGATCAATTGCAACAAAAGTCCATCGAAATGCCTATACATGAACCTAGGGAACTACAGAAACCTTTAGAAATGCCTTATGAAACAATAATTGCAGATATGCCTATTCAAAAGATTTCCAATACCCCTGTTCAGAATATTTCAGATATACCGCTTCAAAAGCCAATCGAGGAAATTGTTCAAACATTTACAGATGTATCTATTCAAAAACCCACTGAACTGCCTCTTCAAACATTTACAGAACCGCCTCTTCAAAAATTTACAGAACCGCCTCTTCAAAAATTTACAGAACCATCTTTCCAAAAATACACTGAACCGCCTATCCAAAAATTCGCAGAGGAACCCGTTCAAAAATTTATAGAGACTCCTATTCAAAACTTTACAGATGCGCCTGTACAGAAATATACAGCACCTCCTGTACAGAAATTTACAGAACCACCTGTACAGAAACTTTCTGAAGTCCTTGTACAAAAATGTACTGAAGTCCCTGTACAAAAATTTACTGATGTCCCTTTACAAAAAATTACAGAAACTCCTGTACAAAAATTTACAGAAACGCCTGTACAAAAATTTACAGAAACTCCTGTACAAAAATTTACAGAAACTCCTCTACAAAAATTTATAGAAACCCCAGTTCCAAATAACATGGAAATTCCTTTATCAAAAATTGTTGATATCCCTGTGGATAGGCCTCCAGAAGTGTTTGCTCAAAAAACCATAGAAATGCCAGTACAAAGACCTGCTCAGATTTCATCACACATTTGTGCCAGTTCTGAAGAAATGAATCCGAGAAAAAACAGTGAATCTGTCATTCAGAAACAGGTGAGTTATATTTTAAATTATTCTCTTAATCCCCTTAATACTCTATTGTGTAGAAGTGCCTACTACTCTTACACTCGTACATGCCTACAGGCCCTGTCACTGGTTCACAGCGCTACTTTAGGAACAGCACTGTTAATTAGAACCCAACAGTGAATGGTCGGAGTGGGGTATCCTACCTGGGCATCAGAATTAATAATAAGTAAATAATTTAAAAAATCCTGGCCAACGCAAAGGTAGGATTCAAACAGCAGACCCTTGAAGTCACAAGTCCAGACTCTAATCACTGGTTTGTTATTCATCGTTCATAATTCAGATCTAAATGTTAATGTTGGTACATCCAGTGTTTGCCTCTTAGTTGACAATGTATATTCTTGTGTTTACTCTTATGTTCTTGTCCAATTCCACGTCTACTTTCCCATCTTTGGTTATTATTAGGTTAATGTTTTTTTTTTAAATCCTATTCTATATTTTTTTTAGGTACGCCAGACATCCGAAAGAAAAACAAATGTTGAACACGAATCACAGAAAAATCAAAAATCGCATATCGATAAATACAATTTGCCGACGGAAAGAACCTCTTTGGAATACAAACATTCAGTTGTTCAACCTTTACCTGTTGATAAATATTCTGTTAAAGATACTAAAATTTGCTCCCATCCAGAACCAAAAATTTACGACCACCAAGAAAGTAAACCGAAAGTTGAACCCAAAATATCTCCTCCGAAACAAGAATCATCTAAATCAGAAAGTAGATCCAAGGACAAATATGATGAAAAGAGATACCATCAAAAATTACACGAAGAAAAAGCAATGTACGACGCCCAACCAAAGATGCACATGGATGAAAGCTTTCTTGCAAATACAATGGCCACAGAAAACTACATGACTCAAGCTCAATATCACTGGCAGTGGGAAAGACTTTGGGGAAATAGATATTATGATAACAAGAGAGATTTTCAAGGGTATCCGCATCCTATGCTCCACCAATTTCCACCACTGGAAATGTTACCAAAACAACCCACTTGTGAAAAAGAGAAACCCGTTTCAAAATCCCATAGATACTCTTCAAGCCAAAGCAGCAGTAGTTCTAGCAGTAAAATGAAGGAAACCAGCAGAAGTGAAAGAGAAAAACATTCTTCTCCTAAAAAAGAAGATAAAAAGTCGAAACATGAACAGGAGTTGTGTTCTGCTTCTTCCAAAGGTGGTTTGGAAGATCATATCAAGGCTTCTAGTTGCTCATACGGCCAGAGTATCCCTAAGCACAGTGTTTCAGTGCCTAATGTATCTGAGAGAAGTGAAAAGAGTAAAGAACGAAAAGATCAAAAATTAGAAGAAACTACAACACAGCAGCCTTTGCAACAACCCATGAAACAGGCACAGTCTGTTCCTTCAGGGGCCGAGGTGCCGTCTATGGGAGTCTACACCCCTGATTCTACCACAAACTCTGTACATAGTTTACATTATGGGCATTGTGAAATGGACGTAACTCAATTAAATTTAGAATCGCCTGCTTCGATTACTAGTGACGTTAATTCTCAGAATTCCGTGGAAATCGTGCGACCTCCTCCGCCTGTTGTCCAAAATGCTGCGCCTCAACCTAATTATGATTGTTCCGTTCAACATACGCTCCAGCAGAATTTGCAAAATACTGCTATTGCCGCTACTAGGTAAGTACATAATTTTTTAAATAAATAACTAAATACTACTTGTATATGAGGAGTGGAAGGAATCGAAAATTCTTCTCTTTTTTATTTCAGGAACTGATGGATATTTACATATAAATTAGGTTCCATTTTTTTTAATTAATACCCAATTTCAAAAAAATAATTTTGTACTGGTTTTTAAACTTTAAAACCTTACGTTTCTAGTTTGATATGTGTCAAAGCTGCCAGTGATTAAAACGGTGTTATTTCAATGGGTGCGTTCACCTGACGTCAGCAGTTAACTTTAAGCGCTAAACGGCTGGGCATTAACATCCGGCAGCAGATGGAAATTGGCTGAACGCTCCGTTGACCGTTGGGTCTCTGTCTGTCACAAAACTGTCAGATTAGACTGTTGAACATAACCTTATAATTATTGGCTGATGCTGATCCTCATCAGAAAACAGTGAAAACACCAAACTGTAGGTTGACAAATTTTCTGTATTAGTTTGCAGTAAATTTTTTTAAAAATTAAATACCAATGGCCACTTGTTAATAAGAACAAAATTGTTATGTTAAAGTTACAAATAATCAAAAATTAAAAAAAATATTTGTCATGAATAGATTTAAAATAATTAATCGATAATAGTGTACTATTCTTTTTAATAAATAATTAACCGTAATTAATATTGTTTACCATTTAATTTATTTACCAGAACATCAAAGTGCAATGGATATTTATACAACCTTTATTATCAGGTTTTTAAATTTCCCGCTGCCTTATTTGTTTGATATCGATGAAAGCACCACATAGTGGGTCAGATGTTAACTACGTTCAAGCTGGTCGTTGTTAAGCATGTGCTTCTTATGAGCGTTTCCTATCTTTATGTGCCTTGTCTCCGATAACTACTAAATAGTAATAATGTGAAAAGGGTCTTACTTAAAAGCCTGTTTTGATTTGTGTTTTGTTTTTATTTTTTGATAATTATAACAGCCGTATGTATAGTCGATCGCCAGCGACTCGCCAGAGATTCATTTCGGCGTATCGCCAGCGATTCGCTGGCGATCTGCCGGCGAAAGCCCAAAAAGCTGGCGACTCGCCGGAGATTGTCACCGGAATATCATTTCACGCAAGTTCTTTTATAGGGAAAAATTTGATATTCGTTCATTATTTTTTGAGTTTTAAGAAATGAATCATGAATAAAATGCGAGAGATACCGGTGATAATCCCTATAAAAGAAAATAAAAACTTGCCAGCTTTTTGGGCTTTCGCCGGCGGATCGCCAACGAATCGCTGGTGATACGCCGAAATGAATCTCTGGCGAGTCGCTGGCGATCGACTATGCATACGGCTGTAAGTGTTCAATTCTAATTATGGGCTATACAATAATATACCGAAGGTCTGCGCGAAAACTTCGCATGGATTTATTTCTGGTAAAATTTAAGGTGGAATCTTGAATTTTTAGGATATAAGGCAGTGGTTAGGGGAACATAGTTCCATATACTTTTCATTCCACAATATCTTCCCTCTTCGCCCCAAGCTACCCTTACGACAAAATTTTCAATTACACCCTGTATATTTTATGACTGATTATGACAAGACCTTACTTTTTGAGGACATTCATAGTAAAAAAGTACAAGTTACATAGAGATTACTGTTTGAGATATTTTAGTTAGTTTATTTATTATTATATAAGAAAAATCAAGCTACCCAGGGATGAAAAGTATTTGGAATTATATGTCCCTCTATGCACTGATTCATACATCAAAAATTCTAGAATCGGCCCAAAAGTTTTCGTGCGGACATTTGGTATAAACGGCTTTTTAATTATATAGACAAAGCTATTTTCCGAGTTCAATACTTGAAGGAAACTGATTAAATCCCTAAGAAACAACCTTACATATCAAAGTAGCAACAAAATATTTTTAAAGTTTAAATACTTGATTTTCTTTCAATTTGATCTACCTAGTATTTGTTTTATGAGATACACATTTTCTATGGTGTTTCTTTTGTCATATATTTTCAATACTTTTCATTATTTAAATTACTGACTTATTTGCTGACGATTTTTCTAAAAGTTACAGTGATGAAGTTGTTTGGCATCTCTTTGATTGATAACAATACTAGAAATGTAGCCATATGTAATGGCTTGTTCTGGTTTCTGCAAAATGTGCTGCAAATCGTCCTAAATCCTGTGGAACAGTTGAATAGCAAATTATTCGTCGCGTAAAACTTTTAAACTTTCCACTGGTCAGCTAGTATTCGCACACATATTTCTGAAGAACCAGAACACACCTACAAAATGTCTGTAAATAAATAACTGTAAATAACTTTAATTTTCAAATTCGTTGACATTTACTTTCGTTGCCGTTCAGAAATTTTGAACCAATGAGAATTACTCCAGAGTACCCTGGGCAAACGATCTAAGAAAATTAGTCTACTCCCGTGTAAAGTCATCGGAACGCGCTCCAGAGATCTTTAATGAAATTCTAAGTTTAAATGATAAAGACACGGCCCGAGAATAACAACCACAGAGAAGCGACAATAACTGCCGGTTCTTTGAAGTTCGGAGAGTAAAATTTTGTGACCTTGAATTTGACTTATGAGACGGATGGCCGGTATAATACAGTAGTTTCCTAGTTTCCATGTTAAAACTTTTAATTTATTTTTCCAATAATAAAAATAAAAAATATACTAATTACCATTATTACGCATTTGGAAATCGTACTTAATTAAAAATTTGTTATTGTTATGTTTCCTACTTTGAGTTCCAATTACAGCTCCGCAAATATCATTTTTAACTTGGTAGCAGAGCCAGTGGCACGTTTAGGTGTGTTATTTGCGCAAAGCAAATTTATAAATATTTCCTTCATTCTTACCTTGTAGAATATGGAAATACTTTGCTAGTCTCTACAGTGATGAAGTCTTCGACGACGACGTCTTAAAAAAACCTGTTTAGATAATGCCTTGTGCAAATGTGCTCCAAAAAAGGGTCACTGGCTTCCCTACTATATAGATTAGATGACAGTTTAAAGTAACGATGACAGGGGGTAATTGTCGTAGCCAAGCCAACAGTTGTAAGGCACGAATAAAAGAGATGAAAAATAAGTTGCATGGAAAATTACTAGATTCAAAAGTCCCGCACATGAGTAATGTGAAATTGTCTAATAACGGGAAAGGTGAATTCGTAGTTTTTTAAATAGCAAATAAAACACATTTTTATAAAAATAAAATATATTTGTAACTCAAACAAAACGAATCGAATAATAGCAAGAATCACGACTAAACTAGTTAAACTGGCAAGCTATGTGGCAAGCGCGTTGAAATTGAGATGACAATTGGCCGGGTTACCCCACACTCCATTTTCTTTTGCGGGAACGGCGTTGTCGCTTTTCTTTGGTTGTTCTTCTCGGACACAGTCCTGATGGCATCCTGTTTTAGTTTCTGAAACGATGCATAGCTACACTAAATCGCCACATACATATTTTATTCCAACAGTCGTTAGAATTAAAATACTTTCTCACATTATGGAGGTTAAGTTTAGTTGTTCCTGTATTTTAAACCGGCGATAGGTGAGATATATAGAATTACATATCTATCAGTATGTTATCGACCAAACCTTGGAAAACTTTTGATCAGTCCTTTGTTTTCGTATCATTATTAGTCAACAACATGGTTTTACTGCGTGTTGATCTACAGTTACCAATCTGATAGTCTATCAACAAAACATTCTTTCTAATTTTTTTAAAAATATGCAAGTTGACACAAATTCTGATTTGGGTAAAGCTTTTTCCTTTTGACCATGTTAATCACACTGTTTTGCTCTTGACCTTTCTGATGCTTTTCGAACTTGTCTTGAAAGCTATTTAAAACAGTAATCATCTAGAAATAAGTTAGTACCAATTAAGTATGATAAATACGTGACTGTTGCTAATAACACATCGGCAAGTCCAATTATTTTTGCTTTAGAATGCTTGTCAACCGAAACAGTTACATTTACACTCCTTGGTACATAAATAATCATTTTATAATCCTCTTATAAATAATGCAGTAGATTCATGATTTTAATGAATCAAAATGTAACATACCTAACCATTTGCAGCCCGACAATCAACCAAGGCAATATACAATTAGCTCCACAAGCTGCAGCTCCGCAATTACACCAAAACTCTACAAGCAAACGTCAGGTTCAACAACAGCGTAACCGAACCAATACTCCTTCCTCTTCGTCTACTAAACAACATAGTATGAGTAGATCAACACCTCCTAGTGGCTCTCAACAGTCGCAACAGTCTAGGCAGAGGGCAACACCCCCTTGTAACACTCAACAGTTGCAGCAGATGCAAGTTAGTCCTACTGCTCAACATACTGCTATGCAACATCAACATCATAACTCTCAGCAGGTAAGTGAAACTGTTAAAACAATATAATGACGCAAATCAGAAAATCAAAAAAATTGTAAAAAATATTGCTTATTATTCTCATACATTGATCACTTCTTATCATAAAATTTTCAGTTCTTAGTATATGTGTTATTATCTATACAGTGTTGGCTATTGAACGCTTTCCAATAAGAATAATATTAAGGTTGCTAGTTTAAACGGCCCAGCACACAACAACAACATTGATATTATTCGTTTCCTGCTCGAAATAATGCTAATTCTCTGTAGTTTTCACTTTGATATTAGCAAAGTGTATTGGAAAGCTTTGAATATTCGACACAGTATAATGGCATAAGACTAAATTTTCTTAAACAATTTTTGTTAAAATTAATCAACACCATTTGTTAATCTGCTCTGAAATGTTGATTTTTAAAGTTTAAACAATACAATTTATAGTTACGTTGAATTATTCATCCTAAAAATTTGAATATTTTATAATAAAGATATTGGTCATTATGAATTTCTATAAATCAGGGGTGACCATGCAGGCACTAGCGGGACCTCTGAGTGGGAGGGTCAGGCTGACGCATCCTTCACACAGGGCGGCCCGCTAGACCAGTGAATGCTGAACCAGGAGAAAGAGGGCAAACATCCACTTCTGTCTCTACGGCGATGAGAGTTAAAGTGCCTTAGGGACAGCAAACCAAAAAACATATAAAAAAGCTGTGTCCAGCGAGAAGGTATAATATATGGGTGTGGCTATGGTACCAATAAACTATAATAATAATAACTATTCTAATAATCTTATAACAGCAGACCAATGAGGCTCGAAAGGCTAGAATAAGCAGATAGTTTCTCGAAGGAAGTTGGACATGATAAAGGAGAATCAGAATATTTCTGAATTTCTCTATTATCTTAATAAAATAAATTGGAATTTCTCCTGAAACTGCCCAGGTGGGAAAAACTCCCACTGAGGGGGAAAGGAGAATCGGTCCATAGTCATAGAACCACAAGAACGTGTGGCCATAGAACAAGTGCCACAAGAAAGTGGGGCCATATAAGAAGTGAGGTCATAGAACAAGTGGCTGAGGTTTCAGTGTAAAAAGGAGGTTTGGAATCCACAGCACAGCAGTTTGGTGGAAACGAGGAACGGATTCTTAGGAAACTTACCGCTGTTGAAGTCGGCTGAGAAATTTGAGTTAATAATAATCGTTCTGTTGTAAACTGCAGTCTAGTCATGCCATCAGGTCGGGTATATGGGTCTTTGTCCACAGTGCTACTCTTTTCGGCTCTGTCCATCTTTGCCTCCACGTTTCTGTCATTTCCTTATCTCTTTCTACATCTGCTTCTGGCCCCATGCCGGCTCTGTAAAGCTTTCCTCGTTCTACTTCGATATCCATAGGGGCGACCCGCTAGAATGAATACTATGGCTTCTCCAGCCAGGGTCGTGTATGCACAGTCTAAATAGGGTCGCTGTTTGTCTTCTGGTTTTTATCTCACTTTTTTCTCACGTCCATTAAATACGAGCTTGTCATTGAACCATACGTCCAGAGATTTAATGTGTTTGCTGGGGTCGCCGCCGTATCTCCGATGTTTGAAAATTATACGTTTTCTTCCTTGACCCTTTCAGGGTTATCGCGTTCGTCTTCTTCAACGCAATATCTAGTCTCTGTGTATGTATCCAATGATATATCTGTAATAGCCTCCTATGCTTTTTCAATTATGTCCTCCTTCAGGCAGGTTTTACTCAAGGACACCGTTGTAGGGCATGTTCCATAGTAAGGACCCAACACTGATCCCTGTGGAACTCATTCCATGCTGATCGGTTCCTTTCCAACTAAAAGTTGATCGTTCCCTGGAGTATTTCCCCGATTATGTTCAATAGATAGTCATTTAGACCTATCTTAGTGAGCGCCTTAAGGATCCTGTTCCATTTGACGGTGTTGAACGCGTTATTGATGTCTATAAATATCACCGCTCCCCAGATCCATCCAGGGCAAGTTGCCTTTCTGATCACCTGTTAGATCATCTGGACTGTTGATTTCCAAATTGCCTGATAGACCTTGGTTTGCGCCTACCTCTTCGTGTATCTTCTTCGCCTGGTATTCTGAGAGTTTGTTCATGATTTCTATTGGTTTTGTACTAAGGTTGTGGTACTCATTGTAACCTACTCATCAGTCGTATGGTGCCACACGGATAAAAGCATAACAGCTAGCAAAAAAATTAATAAGGTTACAGAGAATTGCCTGTCTAATAACAGGGGCATTTGGAAGTACACCACTGTAGCAATTATCTTTCTTCATTACATCTGGTGGTGGAAAAAAAAAAGTTATGGCGGCGGTATACAAATGGATTTGGATGGGAACTTTCAAAGACACCCAAGAATGGTACAATAACCAGTACAAATGGACTTGAACCACACCCTAAGTCATATAGATAGAACATATTATTTGAATTATAACAATAATGCCTGTTCAAGAAACTATTCTGTAAACGCCCCTGACCATTTGACTTCTTAGAAATATGTCTTCAACCCGACATCAGGGCCTTGCCAGAAGTCGAGTCAAAACTATCCTTTTTCTTTATTATTTTTTATGCATTCAAACTTTAGTTTTCACGCCAGTTAGATTGGCTGTGCTTTGTGTAGCTGTTTGTTAAAATAAAAATCTTTTAGCTCTCGAACCAGTTATTTAATTGAAAACTCGTAGATTCTTCTACAAGGCCCATGCATTTTTTAAAGAATTTTTATGGGGTGTTGCGACTGGTAATTTTATGCAATGGTAATTAATAATATTCTTTTAGTTGCAGCCTCATTTACATCACCAAGTGGTCCAACAAAGCTACCAGTATCATTTAGGACCATCCGCGGTCCATCAACATCATGTTCATCCGCATGCAGTCATTAGTCAAGCGAATTACATTCCTTTGGCTGTAACGACTCAAGCATTTCCTTCGGCTACTAGTACCTGCGTTAACATCCCCCCCATGACAACTGTCATCCAGCATGGTATTAGCTCTCAGCAAAATGCTGCAAGCCCCTTGAATTCCGTCGGTGGAGCCAATCAGAAGTTAGCTTCTAGTCCTAGCTGTGCTGTTACGACAGGTAATAAAAAATGTGAAATTGACATGCTTTTATTTTAAATAAACCAATTGTTAATGTTCTTTAATAAAATATTGTCATATTGTTTTAGGTACCAACTTTTATATCCAAACAAATCCTCATTCACACTCTTCGACGCCTTCTCCATCCCAAAGAGGTGGAAATACAGTACAACCGGCAGCAGCCAACGCCAGTTCCAGTATAGCTAAGCTTCAGCAACTAACGAACGGTTTAGACATGACGCCAGCCCCATCGTGTCAAATTATGACTCCGCCTCCTGCTACGATGACTTTAACCCCGCCTCCAACGCATTTGCACGCGACTCCACCCCCTACTCATCAAATGGTACAAAATCAAACTGTGCGCAATTTGACTCCGCCCTCGTCCATACCTCCTAACTTACAGCAACAAGTGTTGGGATATCACAAATATTATCAGACTAACATGAATGTTAATCAGCTGAGCGGTACGGTTACCCCTCCGATTGGGCAGAATTTAGGCAGGACCGGAAGGAATTCTTCGAACGTTGCCGCCATGCAACACATGCAGACTTACAATATGAATAGTTATCCCATGTCCGCACAGCAAACCCCTGGTGCCGTAACGAGTTACATTAGCAACGCAGGTTTCATAAATAATCAGATACCGATGCAAATGATGAATATGGCGCAGACGCAGTACCAGGATCCGACAGCGTTGCAACGGGCCCAGCCACCAATGTACAGGACTTATATTAACGGTATTATGCAACCATTGAATAGTACAATGAGACGTTAATGAGTATTAAGTTATACCTACCCGGTGAAGTTGGTTGTATATTGAACAAAGGACGCTGTATTTTTTTTATGCAAACGAGAAACCGTCCTATGGCTAGATTTGGACATACAGATCGGTAAAGTTAAAAATCCCGAAGTCTTTAAAATAGGCAGCACAAACCTATCCATCAATATTTTTGTATTTGTGAAAGTTACTTTTTAATATATGCAGCCAAAATACATACTTAACAATCAAAATATGAAGTGATTCACAAAATATGTTCTGAAAGTAGGTCTTAAACATGTCAATCATATAAAAGTTTGGATTTAATTCAGAGTCGTGCGTAGTTATTATGGACATGACTCGTATCTCTGTTTTTGTCAGTAAAACAATGAAAAAGATCTAAACTAGTTAGTGTCTAATTAATTAAATTCCACATTTGTCACCAGTGTAACAAATGGTAAGCTTTCTAACTAGTCTTTAACTAATTTAAATCGCTATCACCAATAAACTTTTAGTGGTAGGGCAGCACTGTCACCAGCCCCAGGGTCATTGAGTCCTGAGAGAACGTCACCTGTGGCAAAAATAAAACAAAGGGAAAAATAAAAAAAAACATGTTTGAGCGGTTATGGCAACTGGTTAAAAACTGATAGTCTTATGAGTAGGAATGCCGGTGCTTTATAAATCCCGTAGTATTTTCATGACTAGTTTTGGAATTACGTGAGTGAATATAAATAGATCAGATTTAATTAGGACTGTGGGCCATGTGGCCTCCACTACCTTAACTTTTTCTGATCTACTGTGGATATCCTTTAATCGTTATTTAGACTTCTTTGACTTTGACTAGTTCGGTCTTTTGTAGTATACTAGGAAGTAGTTCTCCGGCGTAGCTGGTTGCTTTTAATTTTTCTTCTCCAAGTGTGAGGAATCTCAGTCTTGATAGACCTTCGCAGTAGCACAGTACGGGTACTGCAGATTTCTTCTATTCCTAACAGAATAGGCCTACCAGTACTCTAGTATTTTTCCTATTATGGTTTAGTAGATGTTAGGTGAGTTTGGCCTGTATCTGTGCTGCTGAATTTTTCCTCCATTCCTGAGATTAAAGATGCAATTATGTGTGTACGTGTGTAGGCAATCTAACGACAAAGGAAATTAATAAGTATATAAAAAAACTGCAAAAAATAATAGTGCCGAGATAAACAATTTTACAAACATTCCCTACGATTTAATGCTGTTTTTGATATGTCCAAACCTTTTTTGATAACAACTTAAACGATAATTCGATCTGTTCTAAGACACAAGTTAGAACGGACTTCCCATGGGATTTATATAATATTATTTTGGTCATTATTAACAATTTATTGTACTAAAAAAGAAAATAATCCTAAACTCTAATGCGACGAAGAGGTAAAGTAAATAAAAACAAGAATGACTTTCTCCTTAGTAAGCAAAATTAAAGTTAAAGTGTTGGAAATTATTTCCTCTCTTCTGTCTTTCCTTTGGATATAATTCAATGCCTGTTGCAGTATTAGCCAAAGGAGTAGTTGTTTTCCGATGGGAAACGGTCCGCTCATATTACTGTGTGACATGGCTTGGCGAATTTCTTGTTTTCTTTTAATTATTATATCACACATTCTTAAAATATATAATTATTGCATACAAAACCAATTCTGTCCTCATGAATGGAAAAAGGGTGTAATCATTACTATACCAAAATCCGGAGAATATATTTCAAAACATCAATTTGGTTTCAAAAGCCAGTGTTCACCTATTCATTCTCTTATAATTTTAACATCAAATGCACAAACATTCTATCTAAAAAGAAAATCATCGGCTGCAATTTTTATGGACATAAATAAAGCGTTTGATAGTGTGTTGCACACAAACTATTTTCAGTGAATTGCCCAATCTACCTAATTAACATTATGAACCAATTCTTAACAAATCATCATTTATGTGTTAAACACAATAATATCTCATGATATTTCTCAATGTAGCAGGGAGTTCCACTGTCATTGTCACTATTTTTATATAACTTTTTCTGCCACGATATATCTCATAATCTTCCCCTTTGACCATATTTTGTCCAAATACACACTTCAGTTTGCTGACAACACTGCCCTTATAGCTCACAATACATCTCTAAACAATAACATCAGCGAACTCGAAAGTTTATCTAATAGCATAAATAAACGAAAAAAAGTTCATTTAATTTTTCCCCGTTGAAAGGAAAGAACGCTAACCCCAGGACCATATATTCTTTTATTTTCATTGCTTTATTACTCGTAATTAAATTGACTTCTTACAGTTTTATTTAAATTATTTATAATTATAGACGAAATAAAAACAGAAATGCTATTATTTATCGATTCCACACAAGAATAATCCATTTTAATGTATGTTTAATCTTGTTTGACAGAATTGTCACTTATTTAAAATTTTAAAAATAATAGCAGTCTGTTGATCAAAATATGAACGGTGATTGGTGGATTTCATTTTTTTGCAGTGTTCTCACTACCTAGAATGGATATGAAATATATTCGTTCAGTTGAAGGTAATAGCATACTTTTTAGTTTTGTAATCTGTGCGTAGATAAGCTAATATCCATGTGGGTGTAGAAAAAATATATATCACTATAGGGTCACGTGTTCAACAATGAATCACTCAAAATTTAAAATCGCATAGACCAGTCAAATTTTAACCAAGAAATCGGAAACTGTACCATTATCAGCCACACATATTTGTAATCTATTACACATTGGTTTAGAGTGAAGATAAAAGTTTTTTAGTTATAAATTTAAAAAAAGGGTATTTGGTTCATTGTGTCCCAAGGGTGGTACACAATGAACTAGTTTTGTGTACACAATGAACCGAGAGACTATTTAATAATGTATCTACTTTTACTTGGTTTAAAGAAACTACAGTATAATTTCAAATTTTTATTGTTTAAAAGCAAAAACCATATAAAGAATGGTACAACGAACAATAATTATTATTATTATACTTCTTATCTCATATTTAACAAAGAATGCAAAAAACGCAAAATATCCTTGTTGTCGTTTTGTGTTTCCACGTAGTTTTGGTTTCGGCAAAATATACTTCACATATTTCTTGTTGACAGAAGCTGTATCAGGAACATTGGGAATAACAAACTGCTCACTGTCTTTAGATTTAATCCTTAAAAATGTTATGCAGTATTCCCCATCTTGTTCTACCTTTATTATTTTTCCCACAAAATATACCGTTGATTTTGCAGGACATAATCTTTTACATTAGGGTTAGTACTTTGGGTACAAAACAAATTTGGATTTAAAATAGGAAGATCTTGTTCACTATCACTGTCACTCTCAAGGGAAATATCTACTTCATCATCGTCTGAATCTTCTTTATCGTCATTAAAAAATTACACTCTTCTTAGTTTGTGTATTTTCATTCGTTTTCTTTCTTTTAGCTTCCAGTCTTTCTTGTTCAATAAGGTTGTTTTCGGGTGTATCAGTGGCAATAGTACATTTGTACCTTTTCTGTTCTTTCTATTATTTTGACGTGGTTGGGCTTTCAGTGGAGGCATAAATTGTTGTGGTGGTATAAGTGATGGTCCTGCTCGACTTTCTTTATGTTCAGTGTTTTCTAGTGGACTTTCATTAGCTGCAGAACTATCATTTTCATTTTGAATTGTGATTTCTTCGTTATTATCACCTGATTGAAGGTCTCTTGTAATATTTTTTTTGTGTCATCGGCTTCAACTGCTAAGGTTATTTCGCCTCGTGTTCTGTGTAGGCTTTGTTACTGTTTCCCAGCGCCACTTTGGGAACAGCACTGTTAATTAGAACCCAATGGTCGAGTGGGGAATCCTACTCTTTGTAATATTAGAACTTTCTTCATTTGGGCATGGTCTGTTGGTTACCTCACTTGACAAAAAATCGTCGTATGTAAAGATATCCCAGTCAAAGGGATATATACCGCATTTTTTAAAAGCATGTGCTGTATTTGTAGGAGTCATGGAACGGCTATATGCTATTCCAATGCATTCAGCTAGGTCGTAAATAGTTATTGGCCTACCTGGATTTCTTAAAAGCCACGACTCTATGGCAGTATTTTAATAGGCCTTAAATGGCGCATATATACCAACGTCAAGTGGCTGCAACTTAGCCGATGTGTGTGGATGCAAAGTGACAATATTAACCCCACGAATTTTGCCAAATCTAAGGCTTCGATGGATAAATGAGACTCATGGTTATTGAATAATAAAATTGATGGATTCTCAGGAGAGCTTCTGCTATGTTTAATGAAATGGCTCATTACGTCAACAAATAGTTCGGAATTCATCCATCCTGTTGGAGTAGCAAGGCCTAGAGACCCAGCGGGGCCGCCAAACATGAAATCTTTGTAATTTTTCCGTGAAAAAATGGTTCCACCAGCACATATAAAACAGCATGTTGTTACTAGCGTCCCTTTCTCACCGCTGGTGACTTTACCCAAACATTTTTTCCCTTTTGGTGCCAATATTTTTTGAGCTTTTTGCACCTTTGTGATTGCGGTTTCATCCAAGTTAAAAATTCTTGTGCCATCACCAAATGCCGAATTCTGATTTATAACGGCATATAAGTTGTCAAAAAAGCGGTTAACGCTGTTGCACGTGCAAGGCTGCATGGCTCTGGTTTTCTCAGTGGCAGATCTGTGTGTCTGTTCCTAAAACCCCGGAGCCATTCTCTGCCAGCGGTTTGTGTTTAATCCTCGGATTTACCCCTCGATTGCCTCCAAGTGACAATATAATTCAACAGTTTCTAAAAATATTTACTTTACGGTATGTCGCTTTGTCTGTGAATATTTTTTACTAAAAATTTATATTTTACAGATTAAACGTATAGTATTACGAAAATTAACCACATTTGTAATCCAATTTTAACAATAAGAACGACGACATCCAGATATATACAACATGGTGACCCATTAGTGCGTGGAAGTTCAATATCTCGGTTGTTTTTAAAAACACGAGAAAATGTTGAATACAAAAGTTTTACGGTTCGCAGAGTCTTTCCAATATACAGGGTGCTCCGAAAAAACAAGGCAATATAAAAATTATTTTTTTCAATTAGAAACCCTTTAAATTTAATTTTTCTTTTAAATTCTAATAAAACTAAGCATTTTTGTCTAAAACACCGTATGTCTAAATTCAATTGTTTTTGCTTTTGACATTCGAAAATTGGCCTTTTCACACTTTGACAAGCTGTAAAACTTTTATATTTGACATTTTTTCGAATTTTCAATAACAACCGAGATATTGAACTTCCACACACTAATGGGCACTATCCAATATTGAGAGAAACTCTGACTGTCATTTTTAATTTTTGATATTATGTTATATATGTGTATCTTTAACCAAAACAGTCGAAAGCATGAATCACCTTATAAGTAACAATATTTTAATTTTGATTATTAGGTATGTGTATGGGCTACATATTAGATTAGTTAAGAAAAAATATTGAAGATAAACTTTTTGGCGTCATTTTTAAAGAATTCTAGGTTTTTAACTTCAACGTCCTTGTATGTCAAAATCTAGCCATAGTCTATGGAGACTTTTAATCAGAAAATGAAGTACTGCAACACATAAAAAAATTAGATAATTTGACGGTATTCCCTTTGCATAAGAAGAGTGCGTTTAGAGATAACGTGCAGTGTTTCCGCCTGTTTTTTGATAGTGACTAGATTCGAGTATTTTTTAATAACTGGTTAGATTAGAGTCCTTAAGGTTTCGTTAGTGTGCAGATAAATTACAAAAGAGGTATTTAGTTACTTTTTTTTTTCAAAACATATCAGCTGGACGCACAGTGTTTCAAACAATACAAGCCAGATGGACAAAATTATTTAGTTAAAATTTCTAACTAATGTTATTAACATTTTATAATCAAAATATAATTAAGGCATGTTTAAAGTGTGTCCAATTAAGTCGGCATCATATGGGAAATTTTTTATTATTTACAAACAAAAATTAATCTTAAAATGCAATCATCAGATATTAAATTTTTTAAGCCGTATAATTTTTTATGCCGTATACGAGGTGCGTTAAATAATATAAATTTTGCTTGAGAGTAAAGTACCTTTATTTTTGACAAACCTCATACACGACTGATAAAATTTGGTATCAGATGGTTGAATTTTGGGTTTTAGGTCACGAAGAATTTTTATTAATAATTTTAGGAAAAAGTTATTTTTTATAAAAAGATGTGCATGGTCTAAAATACAAATATATCAAATTTTATCAGTCGTATACAAGGTTTGTCAAAAATAAAGGTACTTTACTCTTAATAAAAATTTATATTTTTCGACGATGAAAAAAGTTTCCCATATGGTGCCGACTTTTTTTTTAATTGTTGCTGGAAGGTGGAAGGTAATCATTTTCAGAAAAACTAGAAAATTCACTGACCAAATTCCTGTTTTGGAAAATGATTTTACAATATTTATTGGAGTGAATGATAACAAGTCTGGTTCGTAAGAAAGTTGAGGAATATGGTTTACTTTAATCGTTGTCCCAGGTTTGGAGCTCAAAAAGTCGTTAAATGATGACTTGCACCTTGATTTAAAATACCCATATATTCCTACATCCAAGAGTTGCATCTGGTGAGTACAATGAGGGGGGAACGAAAGTTGTTTAATGCCATTTTCTCTACAATACAAAATAACTGCAAGGCTAACCATAAGTCTCATAATTATCTACTATCGGTAATATTGGGTTATCAATACTACACTCTTTATGCTTCTTAATATGTTCCAACACATTTACATAAACCTCTGCAGTCCACCCAATCTTTGATCTAAAACACACGGACTCATCCTTCATTCGTACCCGTGGAAAGGTATAAACAGCATGCAACGAAATTTGCAATGGTGCTATAATTCCCAAGAATGTTACTAGGGTGCCACTTTCTCCAGAAGAGACCTGTTCAACCTGTTTCTTTTCACTTTGTTCAATTACTTTTGGGGCTTGTAAAACAGTTGTTATTCCAGTTTCATCACAGTTCAGGATTCGGTCTGGCGTATACTTGTATTTTTCCATTACTTTTCTATAATTGTCAAAAAATGGTTTAACGTTAGTTGGATTAAAAGCGCTAGCTCTTGCCGGTATTTTCCGATTTTCGTTTGCATAAAACCACCCATCCAATCTTTACCGGCCATTTTGTTGTTATCCTAGGATGATGGATATTTCTTTTTAAGTTTGACTGCGCATTCGTATGCTAAAATATGAGCGTTCTTGTATGTTAACCCAATATGCCGATTGGAAGTCTGAATTAAATAATCTTTTACTTTACTTTCTTCTTGAGAGTTGAACACACTTCTTGCTGCATATTTACTAGATCTTTAATCTTGATCTTCCTCTCCACTATCATTTCCAGAATCACTATTTTGTTTTTTTACAAAATATATTTAAACGATCGTGGATTGTCGACTTTTTAATATTGTGTACTGAAGAAGCCTGTCTAACAGATATTCCATTATCAACTACATCAGATATTGCACCTCGTATGGCATCTTCTGAAATATTGACTCTCAGTTTTCTTTTTGTACTGTGGTGTACTGTGAATAGTTACGTTTTCTTAGAGTATCTCTGTGGTGAATCTAGCCCTATGTTTCTTTTCTGTATTGTTTTCTCTTCTGTGCTCCAGGCTATAGTCCCGTAAGTAATCATTGGTCTCATATTGCAGTATACATCCATCGCAGTGTGTTTGGGTTATATCCCCATCTTTTACCCGCAATGTTTCTACATACCATTAGGGCTTTTGTTGCCTTATTTACTACTACCTACTCATTTATGTTCCAGAGAAGTTTGTTGTCCAGGGTTAGGCCTAGATATTTAACTTAATTTTTCCATTATATATCTATCCCGTCTAATTTGACGGTTTTGAGATTGTTTTCTTAGTAAAAACTATTTTTATTTAAAATGTCTGTAAAACAAAACAAATCGGCATTTGCGGATGTATAATTGACACTCAGGGTAAAAAAACAACAAATTTTTGTGATTTTAGTAGGAAGTAGGATTTGCGCATGAGTAATAGAGACCATCAATAAGGAGATGGGTCTATTGCCTAAAGGTGATAGTAAAAATTAGTTATTTTTTAGATCGATTTATATTAGAATTTGGATATTTTAGGTAATCATGTTCACTAGTTTATACTTTGACTAACATGCACTGTACATCCATACATTGTTTAGTGAATGTATACTAGAATTCACGCTTTAGCTGTAAAATATGTCTTTGGGTTTCTCTTTTCTCTGTGTCTAAGGTTAAGGGGGTGGGTTGCTCCACATTACTTAGCACATTGTGCATCTTCTAGGGACATACAGGACCTGCCTCTGAACTTGTCAGAAACTTACTGGTCGCTGAGAGGTATCTAGAAATAGCCAGCTTCCCAGCTCATCAAAGTCCTGAAGGTTAGCAACTCGTCAGAAACCTACTGATTGTCTCTCAGGTCAAAGACTTGCAGGTTAATAACGTCGCCTTCATTTATTGGTGGGCATCTCCACCCCGATGATAAATGCCCGGGTGGAGCTATTCTCTCCGCCCGCTCCACAGGGTACTTCTCTTTGATATAATACCACAATTATTTATAGACTGGTTTCAATAATTTGTTGTATTAACCTTTTTGTGATTTACTAGGCAAGATGTGTAAAAGCTTTTCACACCAGAATTCTTTAACATAAAAAGTTTGTGTTCTTTTAATATATTTCACAATAATTTGATTGATGCAAACATACATTATAAATATCCATATATTAATAATTTATCTATAGAATCTGCGCATTGTCAAAATACGGGTGTTAAAATACTATCTTGGTTAAGTGTCAAGATGATATTTAGCTGTTTTATAAGGAGGAAAACTTTTAACAGGAAATACTAAGTAGTAATCAATTCGAATCTCTTTTATTGTACATGAATAAAAACTGCGATAAAGAGATTTTTCTTGTGGATATATTTTGTATCCCAAAAAATAACAAAAAAAAACATATTGCCTTACAGTTATAATATGTTATATTCTATCAAATATATATTGGGCTGTGCTGGCTTTCTTAAAATGTTTCTTGTGAATATATTTTTTTTTTTATATATATATATACCAGTTATGTTGATTATTTCGAGTTGTTAGTATCGGATAGGTGTTGATTTTGAATAGAGTAAATAACTGATATAAAAGTTTTTATAAGATATAGTGAACAATAAAGATATTTTTTTTATAATTGAAATATTTTCGCTAATTTATTTTATCAGTTAAATTTTTTATCGGAAAATTGTTTTTAGTCTCAAGCGTCGCCACTAACATGCACCACGTTAGTCTGGTAGCTTAAATGTATTTAAATTTTTATGTTATTTTTTGACAGTGCAAAATTCCGTTTTTATTGGAAGCTCTTTTCAAATTGAACACCTTTTGTGTATATGTACGTAGTCGTTTTATTTGGCAATAGGTTTCATGAAAATATACTTAATGAATAGTTTTTTATTATATATATTTATATTATATGAAGTTCTTGTACCTATATAAAAAATATTAAAATTGAAAAATATTTTGTACAGTTTGTGAATAGGAAAGAATCTAAACAGTGTACTATATTTTTTGGTAACATAGTTACTTATTGTTTTATTATTTGTTATGAATTTATTTATTTTTATGGATAAACTTTGTAGTAGGTTAAAAGTTATTAAAAGCATACTTATAGATTTAGGGTATTTGTTTTTTATCACATATTTCACTTTTTTGTATAGCACTGTGATTAGTTTTCAAAAATGTGTCGCATTAACCTTATTATCTATGACATAATATGTATATTTTAGTTTGTGAAAAAAGTGGACATTAAAAAGAATATTAGTTTTTATAATCATTTTTTATTTTGAGTATCCTTTATAAGTTACAGCAGCGGTTGTATACCTTATTCAGAAGCGAATCAAATTCAGCAATATTTTGTATATTTGAAAATATCCAATAATGTGGTGTATTCAAACTTATACCCGAATTTGAGGGACACTAACGGGTTAATATTTTATTAATAAGATTGCGTTCTTTTACCACGAGGTCTCTAAAACGATCTTCTTAAATCTTTAAAAATATTGTATTCGATAAAAAGAACGGTGCCTAAGTGTTTGCAGTGCCCTTAAATCAGGAACAAAAAAGTTGCTCTGCCCGTTAATCTCAATAGTGTGTGGAAGTTCGATATATTCGTTATTGTAGAAAATATAAAAAAAATGTTATTTACAAAAGTTGTAGATCATATATTATCTGTACATTTTAAAATTATTTTCGAATATATACAGAGCGATCCATAACTTCAGAATTATCCAAATATATATTTTTTTAGATTCCAAATTTGAATTCTCCTGACTTTTATTTTCTAGAAAATACCAGCATATATGAGGTTATACGGGGTATTTTAGAAGTTTAAAACAATTTTATATGAAAATCGTAGTAGGTTCAATCCTCTCCTTTCTTAAAACTCAAACAATTTCTGAGCTCCTATCCTATTCTAAGAGCTACCCCCCAGACAACACACCAAATCCCAGAGATATCCACAGAATATCTTTTGTGGATATCCAATATATCCACAGGATATCAGAAATATTCCGTGGATCTAATATGGATATCCAAATGTCCGTCTATATCCAGAATATAGAAGATATCCTATGGATATTCAGCAAAATATCAAATGAGTATCTTCCGGACAATACAAGAAATCCCAGAGATATCCACAGAATATATTTTGTGGATATCCAATATGGATATAGAATTCAGATATTCAGCAAAATATTTTATAGGTATCTTTAGTAGAGGTTCATAAGTAACCAATGATTATTGAATAACGTCGAAAGAAAATAGAGATAAAAAATATTTCCAACAATCTGCCTTTGATTTTGCCCACTAAAAGGGCACTAAGGAGAAAGTCATCCTTATTAGGACTCTACAGCAATAAATGGAAATTCTGGACTCCAGTCTCTAATAGAGTCTGATTGTGAAAAAAAAAAATTCAATCGAACTCATTTACGGCGGGTTGAGCATGAGTAGATACGAAAGTGGTATCGCCATCTATATTTAGGAAGCAAAATCAAAAATTACATCTAGTAGATATCCACGATGGTTTGCGTCCGCGCTTAGACTTTGATATATTTATATTTATAGTGGATGTCCATGGGATATTGAATACACCTTAAAAAAATTAATTTTAAATATCTGAACGGTACTATTAGCCACAATGGCGTAATTTTTTAATAATTGCTATATAATTACTATTATTTATGGACATTTGCATGTCTATAAATTACATTTCATAGATATAAAATAGATATCCACCATGGATTGGACATTCAGTGGAATATTGGGATGTTCAGTAGATATCCAAAGGATTTGGTGTGCTGTACTTTTGAGAATCCAAACAGTTATAACGTGATGACCAATGGTATTCTCTATAGATATTCCCCTGAAACAGACGAAGAGATACCTCAACAAGTAGTACCTAAATCGCAGATACTTGATCTATTGAAAGAGTATCATGATTCACACATTGCTGGTCACTGCGGAGTGGAACGTACTATCCACAGAATCGCAGCTAGATACTACTGGCCTGGAATGTGGCGAAATATAACAGATTATGTGATAAAATGTATAGACTGCTGAAGGTATATGGATTCTAACCTAAAACCCGCAGGTATATACTAGACGGCTGTGATGGCTCAAATATTTGAAAGGCTCTATTGATCTTTTTGGACCACTTCCCGCTGCAACCAACGGAGATAGACATTTTTATTATCCAATATTACACTAGCCGTTGGGTTTTGTTATTTGTTTTAACTACCGCCGAAGCTTGAGCTAGATGTTTAGTTGAAGAAATCGACTTGCGGTTTAGTACACTTAGAAGAGTAGTGAGTGAAAATGGTACTCAAGTTGTCAGTGCTGTAATGCAACACGTTGCCCATTGTCTTGGATTCACGTAATCTTTGACACCCCTGTATCATCCGGCATCTAATCCAGTGGAACGACAGAACCAAAACTTGAAAACCCAACTAGCAATTCTAACCAATGAAGATTACACCACGTGGAAGGATAAGTTGCCCGCTATTAGATTTTCGATGAATAACTGCTTCTTGGTCCACCACGGGATTTACCCCTGCATATGTTACTTGTGGACAAGTATTTAGGACATCCGATGATATTCAACGCGACATGTCCGTCATAGTTACCAATGACTCCTTCATACCTCAGATAACCCCTTATCTGCTTAATATAGCTAATTGTAAAAGGCCGATGAACGCAGAGGAGCCGCTCAAAACCGTGCGAAAGCCACTGCCGATAGACATCAACGTGCTGATGCGCCCCAACAAGGAGATAAAGTGATGATAAATATCCATGTACTCAGTAGTAGTAAGGATGCATTTAATTCAAAATTCGCACCTAAGAGGGATGGACCATATCTGATTACCAAAGTAAACACTCCGACAACTTCTGAAGTAGTAGCTGTAACCGATCCGGAAGTTACCCTATGCAAATACCATGTATTCCTTCCAGATCATTACGAAGGAGAGGTAGACTACCTTACAGCCATGGACAAGCCTTTGTCCCCGAATCTGAGCCGGAGTTGTCACCCCTCAATAACGAACACACTTATGAAAGTTGTGTTACCCCAGAAGAGACGCCTGCCCCTACGATTGAGACGGAGCGCCCTGTCAGAAGACGGACCCCAAAACTCCCTTGTGCTTGTTGCACTAACAATCCACTCTTTCCTAGTATCTACCCTCAAACTTCTCATTGCACGTCTGATGCAACGGGGGAGACTTTGTAACAAGACCCCTGGTACCGGCCCTGTTTTTTGCGCAGCACCTGTGAACACATGCCTGCGTAGTGCTGCTGCCTAGCGACTAATAGACAATACGAGAGAGTCAGGTTGACTGCGATAAATACTAATCGACAATACAAAATTATTTATATTTCTGTTCCTATTATTTCTTATTTCACACATTAAAGTTAAATCTCTTAATACGTGCAGTGTTTTTATATTACGTCCCCCGTTACAATTTTCGGTAACACTAAGTATAGCAGGGGCAGAAGTTAGAAAGGCTTCTGCTAGTTCTCCCACTTTATACACATAAATTGGCAGGTTTGCGGCGGATCTAACCGAAGTGGACGCGATACATTGGCGTACAAAATTATTGTTTAGATGTTAATAATAATTTCGAGTAAATAGTTACGTAAATTGTGAATAGCTGTTGAAATTTTGTAGAATTATGATTTGGATATTATAATACATGTTTAATAATTACTTATAGTCCATAAATACATACGATTGTCCAGTTCCGCTGGTAACAATTTAAAAGTACTTATTCTATAAACGACACTGGCAGGTAAACATTACTGCGAAATTCTCGAAGTCATCCGACGTGGTTTGACATTAAATACCGGATTCATTTTGTTCAGTTAAATTCTTTTTTTTTTCATAGACTACATTACCTGGACGTTTAAATCTTTCTAACAAGTTTTCAAAAGTCTCTGTACGGGGGTTGTATACAATCAGGATATTTGTGCATATAAATTATAGTTACCAACAAGCAATTTTCATCACTAGCGCTAAAACCACGTCAGTCAATTCATTCGTTTCAAAATTCATTTTTAATCAGTCAAAACTATAAATTTAAAAACTTGGAAACATAAAACGTAATTATAGTTTTTTTATTTAAACAATGCGGAATTGTCAAATTATTCTTTTGACAATAATTTCAAAGCCCACTTGGCTTAATGCACAGAAACTAAAAGACGTTTTGTTAACTCACAATCAGTGCTACTCTTTCGATGCAAAGGAAAAGATCTATTGTAGTTAGGATTTGGTTTCGAATTTGTAAGGATAAAAAACAAATGTTTGTTTTGTGTACTGATCATGGATGAAGAAAAAATTGGTGTTGTAGCTGCTTTGGCGTCTGAAATTTTATCTAACCTTTTGCCGTATTCATCAATAAATCTTGGCTATCTTAAACATAAATTGGATTTAAATATACAGAAACCTTAAATGCGTCCATTCTAGGTACTCCTAGCGTTGCCAGATGTCCCGCTTTAGGCGTAATTGTACCGCTTTTTAACTTGCTGGCACGCGTTATGCCAAAGTACGAAAATGTCTCGCGTTTACCTAAATGCTACGCTTTTTAAATCCAAAGTTATATATAATTTTTTTTGACAATTTTTACCTTTTTTGAGAAGCTCCTTAGAAAAAGGACCTGATGGTTTATAAAAATATAAGCGGAGGACTTTTTTTACCTTTCCACAAAAAGGAGCTTCTTTTTTATAAAATACCTGTTGTTTTAACCTGATCCCCTTTCGTCATCGTTGTTCCACTTTTAAAGGTGGTAGGTGACATCAAAATAAACATTTTTTGTTTAATGAGTTTATTTTGATGTCCCCTCTACCACCCCTAAAAGTTTGGCGGTATATTTACAGGACCCTTTGTATATTTGATTATGTACAATATAGGTACCTACTTATCAGATTCTTGTTTACAACTAAAAATTTAATAAAATATAGTTCAGAAGTTACAGGGGAACTATTACTAAAAAATAAAAATAATACCAATACCCAGCAAACACAAACATGTAACATATATGTATCATTTACGTGTACTAGTTCCGTGTTACATAACAAAGTAACTTACATGTTACATAATAACTCACGTGATTACTGTGAAAAATGACCTAATTTTGTTATATAGCAGGTTCTTTATATGTGATGTAATGTGTTAAGTACATGTAAGGAACAATGTTATATATCCGAACACATGTAACATTTATATTACCATTGTAACATTTAATATGCTTCATTATTACAGCACATATACATTATTTTTTTCAT